ACAAGGAAAAAGGCAAATCAAGTTGAGTATAAACAGACATGGAGAAATACAAAATGTCCAACCTAAACATGAGAAGAACACTAGGACAAGTAGTAACTGGTAATCAGAGAATCCATTGTAAAGTCAGCAACACAGACAGTGTCAAGGCATTCATATCACATATCACAGACATCAACCATGCTGCTTAGACTGACTGTCTAGACTGCCTAGGCTGCCTAGACTGCAATGAACTTCTGTCTCCTGCCTTATATTCCTCTCTCTGCCCAGCCATATCCCTTCCTGTCTCCATCTCTTTAGTGCTAGGATTAAAGACATGCCACTCCAAGTGCTGGGATCACCTTTCTGTGAGTTCTGTTTTTCTTTTAGACTGGATCAATTTCATGTAACCTAAGGAGGCCTTGAACTCACAGAAACCCATCTGCCTCTGTCTTCCAAGTGCTAGAATAGAAGGTGTGCGCCACCACTGCCTTGCCTCTATAGCTAACTAGTGTGGCTAGCTTTGCACTCTGATCTTCAGGCCAGTTTCATTTGTTAGATAGTAAACAAAACACCCAACCACATGACCACTATCAATGTAGGGAAGGCAGGAGTCTACTTGGGGAATTGTCTAAATACAAAGGCTACAACTTAAGCCTTGAGGCCTCAGAGATTGGTATATTTGGTTCACATGGAAATATACATTAAGATGAGAAATGATTAAATAGATGGAAAAATACTAAAGACCCAAATCTGAACACATCTGGTATTTGACAAAAATGCCAGAAACACACACTAGAGGAAAGATGGCATCGTCAATAAATATTATGTTTTACCAATATGTAGTAGAATTATGTTAGACCAGTATCTATCACTTCACAAAATGTAACTCCAAATGAATGACAAACCTCAGTGTGAAATCTGAAGTGCTGAAATTGCTAAAAGAAAATACAGGCAGGACCCTACCAAATACAAATGCAGGAAAGGGCTTTCTGAATAAAACCCAATTTGCTGAGGAATTAGGCCGATTAACAAATGGGATTTCATAAAACAAAATGACTTCCCTACAGCAAAGGAACAATCAATGGGATGAAGAAGAAACACAGACTGCCTATGGATCTGAGCAGAGTTCTCACAAGAAGACATTAAAACCGGTAATAAATCCCCATCAAAAAAGAAAGAAAGGAAGAAAGAAGAAAGAAAGAAAGATAGAGAGAAAAATACCTTTAAGAGTGTTTACTATCAGGGCTGGAGAGATGGTTCGCTGGTTAAGAGCACTGGCTGCTCTTCCAGAAGACTGACTGGGTTCACTACCTGGCACCCACATGGCGGCTCATAATTGTCTGTGACTCCTGTTCCCGGGAATCTGACACTCTCACACAGGTATGCATACAGGCAAAGATACATAAGATAAAAATAAATTATTTTTAAAAAGAGTTACTATCCTTAGAAATTAGGGAAATGCAAATTAAAAGTACTTTGAGATTTCATCTCACCCCAGTCAGAATGGCTAGATCAAGAAAACAAATGACAACAAATGCTAGCAAGAATGCCAAGAAGGCACCCTCATTCACTCTTGTTTTGGTTGCAAACTGGTGTAGCCATTATGGAAATCAGTATGGAGAATTCTCAAAAAAGCTAAGGGTAGACAGATCTTCTATTACATCCCAAACTATACCACTCATTGGCATAGGCCTTAAAGACTCAATATCCTAACACGAAGATAAAAATGCAATGTTACAATTGTCTTTTGTGAGGGAATACATGGACCTAGGTTTGCATGTGTGTGGGATGCACACGTGGGCACCATTGTGTGTGTTCTTGTGGATGTCAGAGGTCAACACTGGGTATCATTCCTGAAGAGTCATCTATGTTGTTTTTCATCTCTTTTGTTTGTTTGTTTTGAAATAGAGTCTTTCACTGGGACCTGAAGATCACCAGGAAAGCTAAGCTTGGTGGTCAGGGGGCTCCAGGCATCACCTGTCTCTGCCTTATCAACACTAGAATTACAGGAATTCCCAGTCATTCCTGGCTTTCTAAGTGGGTGCTGGGGATCAAACTTAGGTCCTCATGCTTGCATACTTACCAACTGAGCTACCATCTCACCAGCTCCACACTATTTTCTTCTCCAAATCACTTAAAATATTTATTTATTTATTTATTTATTTATTTATTTATTTATCTGGGGGTGGGCCACTGTACATGTGTGGAAGTTAGTGCTTCCAGGAGTCAATTGGCTCCTCCCACCATATGGGTACAAAGGATCAAACTCAGGTCCTTAGGCTTGGTGACAAGAGCCTCTATTCACTCAGTGGATTTCCAACTCTCAAATTTATTTTTTGTCTGTGTTTTGTAACCTTTCTTTTTATACAGCTTTCCTCCAATATCTGATTGCTTTTGTTTCCCTGCTCATATTTGAAAGTAAAGATCTACAAGTGTGGTGGTGCACATCTTTAGTTCCAGCAATGGGGAGGCAGAGGAAGGCGGATCTCTGTGAGTTCGAGGCTAGCCTGGTCTAAAGAGTGAGTTTCATGACATCCAGAGCAACACAGAGAAACTCTGTCTCGATAAACAAAAGAAACAAACAAAAAAGTGAGAATCTAGAACATTAATGCAAAGCTCTGGCTGTGGGCTTCACCAGTAGGTATTAGGTGAGTTGTGGGCTTTACCATTAGATATTAGGTGAGTTCTAGTGTCATATGTGATATGATATGCCAAAAGCAACTTGGTATTGTGTAATTATGTAAAAGTAGAAGTCAAAGACACGCTGGTTAAAACAACAAGTCAGAATTTCCCTCTATTAAAATGGCAAAGGTCAATAATTATACTTAGAGTGAACAAAGACACAGGAAGACAAGCGGGTCCACAGTTGGTTAGTGCTAGCTTTCTGGAGTGGAGTTAGCCACTCTTCTCCATCTACCTTAGGGAAATTAGGATAGGCATGCAAATATTTAATTAAATGACTTGATAGTGGGCAAAGGTACACGTACAAACACAGTAAATGCACAGTGGTTACCAAGTTGAACATGCAGTAAAACTGCTGAATTGGACAGTGTGTCTGCCTCTACAACTTCAACCTTCTCTTCTTTCTCTGCTTCTTATGTCCCACTCCTTTACAGACCACATCAAACAGGCTTCCTGGCCCTCTGGTCTCAGTTGGGTGAGGCACATAAAAAGCACTAGGCGAAGACAGATGTCTTCTTTGTGGAGTGCCCGCTAGGGTACTTACAGCCGGGTACCTTGCTGGACTGTAGCTCGGAAGTTATGTTCATCTACTGAACCATACATCCCTTAAGGAGTTTTTCTCATCAGTCTCTCCTGCACTCGGTCGGATTTAGGGACAGTAATGGCCTCCATGCTGCTAGCCCTGCTGCCACCTCTTTCCTTAAACCCTTGTACACTCTCTTCAGTCGTTCAAGTAAATCATCTGTTTCCAGCGAGGCTCCTGACCAATCTGCCACAGACTCGGGTTTCTCTCTACTATGTAGCAAAACATTGTACGGGTTTGCCATGGTCAATACCCTAACGAGGAACACTTAAATCGTTCCTAATCTTAGGGAGGAGGTTGACCTCTGCCCCAAAACCTGCGTGTGATCTCTCAGGCTTGACCAGAGGCAATTACAGAATACATGGGAAAAAAATCTGCCCTCCTACGCCTGACTTGGAGCACAGCCAAACACTGTGATCTCAGACAGGAGTCGCTGTCAAGGATTCAGGTCCCACTGGCCAGGTGGGCACTTTAGCATCTGCCTTCCTCACTCAGGCACCTCTTTCTTTTGGGTGGGGGAGGCTTTTCCCAGTTACCTACAGGGAGGCATGCCTGATGACCCTTCTCTCCACCCTGACTCAGTACACACGTGTTTTCTACCTACACCCTCTTCCAGGCCTCCACATTGTAAAAAATGCAAGAACCCCTAGCTCAGGGCTCCACAGGCTGGGACCTCCTTGACCTCCGCCTGACACTGTTGGGTGGCAAAATGGGAACATGGGGAGCCTGGGCTCTCTCTTGATTCGTACCTTGCTTATACCACAGGAGAAATTAAAGGCTGCTGCTTTTCCTGGGCAGCTCGGGTCTCTTCAGTGACAGTTAGGTTTTGAAATGCTTTGTTGCAGGCACTGGTAGAACAGCTTTGATTTATTGAAATACTCTTGTTCTGGGAACATACATTCCAGTCAAGCACAAAGATGCATTGAGGAGGCGGGAGACACGAGGGCATATGCAGACTATGACTTGGCAAAAAGAGTGGATTATTTAATAACCTTTACCTGACTGTGCAGGAAGAACTTTTTTAAAAAGCCTTTGATATAGCTCCTAGCAGTTCTCATAGTGTGTGTGTGTGTGTGTGTGTGTGTGTGGTGTACACACATGCGTGCCCAGGTGTGTACCCCATGAGTGTGCATGCAGAACGCAGAGGAAGGCAGTTCTATGGTTCTCAGCTCTATTTCCTACACACAGGCTCTCTCACTGAATCTGGAGCTAGGCTGGTAGCAGCAAACCTAAAAAAAATTCTTCCTGTCCTGTCACCAACAGTACTGGGGCTACAGGCTTGCACACCATGTCTGGCTTTTTATGTGCGAGCTAAGAATTCAAGCATAGTTCTTCATGCTTGAGTAGCAAAAGGTCGTATCCACTGAGCCATCTTACTACTATTCTTTGGTTTATTATTATTGTTAATACTACATTTTTTCTATTTATTTGGTGGAAGGTGACATGTGCCACAGCATATGTTTGTGGGACGGAGGACAACTTGCTGGAGTCAAATCTCTCCTATGATGTAGGGTTCAGGAATCAAACTCAGGTCTTCAGGCTTGGCAGCAAGTGCGTTTACCTGCGGAATCATTTGGCCACCTACCTTAGTTTTCTAACTGATGTTTCTTCCTAGTAGTCTTCATAAAGTACAGAAACATTGCTTCTTTGACAATGTTACACTTGTAACTCTCAGACGATGTGAGCTATTTCATATATTGTTCTCAAAGGCTGAAAATCTATTAGCCAGTGTTTTTCCTCTAAAACACTGAGTGTCATGCTTAGCTGGAAGGGGAGATACTATGATCACAAAGGTAGTCTTCTCACTCTGAGGCTCACCCCGCATTGTACTCTAGACCTGGTACGTCTGTACTTGCCCCAGATTCAGGTGTTGTGACTACATGATTTGTGGTTGCAGGGACTGTGTTCACACCTTCCTTTGTGTATTTTGTTGTTTATGTTAGAAAAAATTTTAAGTATGACTTCTATTTTATTTCTCCAAGGTGTTGTTCCTTCTGTTCTTATGAAGCTACCTCTTTATATGGGCTTTGATGGAGGTCATGGTGCAGCACCAGCAGGTCTAAATCATGGTGGGGGCGTTCAATCTTTCCAGGCTTCACAAGATTGATTCCTGACTACCTTGCCATGAATAGCGCAGCTTGCATAGTAATTCAGCTTGACAGAGTTTGGGAAGCCCATAGGTGTCGAAGACACTTGCTTCAGATATGTGCCTGATAGCAGCAGCTTCTACAATGCTCCAAATGACTAACTTCTTAATGGCCTTGTCCTTGGGTACACAAATTTACTGCATATGGCAACAGCAGCACCTTTTGGAATGACTACTCTTTCTTCTTTTTTTGGTCATCTTGGAGCCAAAACCAAAAAGAGACTATGTTAGAAATTTTTGTGTTGATATTTGGGGCACAAAATAAGGTTTTGATATTTGGAGCACACGTCTGTCATCCCAACACTTGGGGGAGGGGAGGACAGGAAAATTGAAGATGTCTGTCATCCTGACACTTAGAGGACAGGAAGATTGCAACCTGGGCTACATAATGAGATCACCTCAAAAATATTTAAATGTGTGTATACAGTTAAGAAGCCTTGTGTATTTATGATAGAATATAATCTTTCTAAAGGAAATGAAAACAAGACACCCATGCATTGACACTATGTCATACATGGGGACAGTACACAGGGAAATACTTTCCTAGAAGTGGATTATTGATCAGAGCTCATGCATAGTTTTATAAGCACTACCTAACTTCTCTCTGCAGAGATAAGAGCAGTTTGCCTTCCCTGTGACACGTGAGCGATGCCATTGACAAAGCAGAGCGCCATCTTGGTTTTGCCGCTCAGATGAAAAATGGCCTCTGATGTATCTGTGCTTTGTACCAGTGCAAGCGTTTAATCCTGCATTTTAAAAACAAGAAAGCTCTTTAAATTCCAACACAAAGCATTCTCTCAGAAGCCGTAAGCAAAGAAAGCACAGGGTAAAATTAGTTCCGCATGCTGACATTTGTGCACAAGGAAGAGAAAAACAATCTGTCCCCATATCTATTTATATATGTCCAGGAAAGCTGCAGAATAGCACACTGGAAGGGAAAGGCCTGGAACTTTGGGGAACCTGAGGCAGGGGAAAGACAGGGTTTCTGTCATACTGTTTTATGTCTTGTGACTGCTTTACATATTTCATTACCACTAACATTTTTAAAAAGGATAATTTTGAAAACAAAAGTATTTTAAAATAGTCTTACATCACTATAAAAGAATGCATATTTAATGGCATGGGGGATGTTGATATGAACTGCAGAGACAAAATAACAGGTTATAAAACAGAAGCATGCTTATACTCCACAGCTAGCGAGCACGCACAAGGGAAAGCATGCTGGGAGGGCATAATTGAGAGTTTGAATGATTATCTCTGGGTAGCAGAATTCCTTTGTGTGCCTTTCCCTACTTTCCAAATGTTCAACTTTGGAAATATTACTTTCAAAGCCAAAAGGGAATGCCAGCTTTGAGAGGCTGGGGAGGTAGCTCAGCAACAGAGCGCTCGCCTGCTATGCCCAAGGTCCTGGGTTCAATCCTCCGCACCTAAAGGAAAGCCTAGCACACTTAGCAGAAAGATAATAAGAATGAAACATGCCCCACATCTATTTATAAATGAATGGAAGAGTCCCAGAAGAACAACATAAATAATTCTCATATCCATTTGTTTCCAATAAGAGAAGCTGGGAGGAAGTTCAGCAGGTAAGGTCACTTTGCCACCATGCTTGATGACCTGAGTTCAATTCTGCAGGTCCCACACGGTTAAGGAGAGAATCACGTCTCACAAAGGTGTGTGTGTGTGTGTGTAATAAAATTTTAGAAAGAAATCGCAGAAGAGTGTGTATTGCCAAGTCCACACAAGCTGACAAAATGGAAATGCTGTGTGTTGCTATGAAATCAGAAAAGCTGCTAGTTAGGTGTAAGTTGGGGCAGGTTATGACTGCAAAGGAGCCTCAGACAGAATTCCGGAGTGCTGGTAATGCTCTGCCTTGGTCTGGGGATAGTGATATGTACATATCTTCAAGTTCCTTGACTTCAATGCCTCAGATGTGGGCACTTCACATACATCTTCCCTTTCAAAGTAATTCTAGAAGGATTTATGTCCACACACATCCACAGAAAAGTATTCTGAGAGTTATAGATGCATCTCAAATATCATACTGAAATCAGGCAACAGGGAAGAAAATGGACTCTGGACTCAGACAGGCCTGGGTTTGAGTTCCAGTCCTACCACTTATTAGTGAATGTGAGAAAGCTGTTTAACCTCCCTGCCTCTGCCTCCTTACCTGCAGAAATGAGAGCAGCAATCTTTCTCCCCCCTGAGGGTTGCGGTAAGAATGGGATGAGGTATGTTTTAATGTGTCCATAGGTTACAATAAGTATTCAATTTAAAGTTCCTTCTGCTGAAGGGAAGCAGGAATTCTCTTTTCAATACATAAAGTGCCCATCTGTGGGCACTCACTTGCAAACACGGTACACATGGAGTTCATAAGAGTCTCCACAAATGCCTCCATTGTGGTCACTGGCCCAGTTTACCAAGAAACAAACAAAACAGCAAAATCCAGAGGTTAAGAAAATAATAAGACAAGATTCAAACCAAAATATATTAAAATATGCATTTTTCAAGCATGGTGGTTCATGCCTGTAACCTTAGGATTTTGGAGGCTGAGGCAGGAGGATAACCATGAGTCTGAAGCCAGTGTGGGATACATAGTGAATTCAAGCTTGCCTTGGTTGGACAGTGAGATGTATGTCTTTTTTAAAAACAAAAAATGCACAAACATTTTTTGTGAAGTTTCTAATGGAATTTTCAGAAACCCAAATAGCTAGGGAATGCTTTCACAGTGGGAACCAGCATTTCATATGGTCACTTGGAGTCACAGACGGAAAGCCGGGAAGCTCATTGGAAAACTGACCAATTGGCAAATGCAATTGCCTTCCTTGTACATGTGTCCACACCAATCAGGAACAGTGAACAATGTTAGGTCTTTGTTTCTAATACTAGTAAGTGCTGAGGATCATTTTGCTTGGGCCAAAGGGAAGAAAGCAGTCATAAGTCAATACTAGATTACTAGTTCAAAGCATGCCAATGGCTCAGTGGGTGAAAGAGCCAGGGTGCCAAAGTGAGTGCGTAATGGATAGGTGTATGAAAGCAGGTTAACATGTGAACTGTACAAGCGACAATGAAAATTCACAAAACCGTCTCTACAGAAGCACCCACGGGTATTTGGTATTTGGTGTGTGTGTGTGTGTGTGCACTTGTGGTATGTGTACGTGTGTGTGTGTGGTGTGTGCACTTGTGGTGTGTGTACGTGTGTGTGTGTGGTGTGTGCACTTGTGGTGTGTGTACGTGTGTGTGTGTGGTGTGTGTGTGTATGTGTGGCATGTGAATGTACACGCACTTGTGGAGGGAGCCTGTGCCTATGAGTATATGGAGATCAGAAGAGGGCATCAGATCTCTCAGAGTTGGAGTTGCAGATATTTGCAGGATGCCTGAATTGTTACATGGGTGCTGGGATCCAAACTCGAGTTCTCATGATTGTACAACAAACAGTCATACACCTGATCCATTTCTCCAGTCCTGGTGACACAATTTGTAAGAAAAACCATTGAGGGGTAAATTAAAAATTCCCAGAAACAGCAAGACAAAGATCGTTCACTGCCAATGTTTACAATTTAAGTTTTTCACCACTAAATATAAATAGCTTACTTGTCTGAGACAAAAATTCCTGCTAGCTGTGCATAATAAAAGCATGTAAAGTTCATCCCAGCCAGGAACATTTGCAACAGCATGCATATGCCCACACACATACATCATAGTTCCCGTTTGCTAGGCACTACTCTAAGTGACTTTTCTACATTGGGTAACTTAATGAATTACTGTTTCTACTTTATAGATGAAATCCAAAGAACAGAGAGATGGAGTAACTTTCCAAAGCTGTACAGATAATAAATTGCTGAGCTTCTGTTCGAATGGGCTTCTGATTTCTCTGTGCCTTCACTGCCAGGCTTTTGAACCAAGACAACAACGGAAGTAAACCCAGTGCAAACAATGCTAGCCTACCTCTCTGATCACCTTCTCCAAAACACAGCACTGCTTTCTGCAACTGGGAGCATCAGATAGTTTCAAATTGACAGACACTGTATAAAATACCTGACATGAATTTTGCATAACTCCAAGGACATCAAAACTAAGAGGAGTCTGAAAAATTGTCACATGCTAGCAGAGGCCAGGGATATATGAAGAGAAGATGTAGTGGAGTACAGTAGATGGGATTTGAGAATACAAATACTCACAGGGGCCTAAACAGTGTCTCTGCAGCACTCAATGAATAGCAATAAACGAATAGGTCTTTAGCTGTGACAAATGTATATGGTAGATGAGAAATCAACTAAGCGAGAGGCCAAAAGAACTCTCTGCACTCTTTCAGTTTTCACATAATCCTTAACTACTCTAAATTAAAGAGCTCGTTTTAAAAAAATGCAACTAACTTTGTCAGGTGTGGTGGCACATGTCTTTGATCACAGCACCAGGGAAACAGGCAGGAGAATCTCTGTGATGGTTGCAGGCCAGCCTGGCCTGCAAAATGAGTTCCAGAACAGCCAGGGATACTACACAGAGAAATCTGTCTCAGAAAACAAAGCATAAATAAATAAATAAATAAATAAATAAATAAATAAATAAATAAATAAATAAATGCAACTAAGTAACTCCCCATCTCCACTTAACCCTTCGTGTAATTCTTAGTGAGATGTACAGCAGACAAGCAGCTGGCATAAAATAAATGCAGAGGAAACGAAATGGAAGAGTTCCCTTCTAATGCAATAAAACTAACTCCTACGAAAAAGGGTGAATTTACCTCCTTTTGGAGAAAGTCCCCTGGGGTTTCCTT